AGAGAGTCTGTGTGTGTGTGTGTGTGTGTGAGAGAGAGAGTCTGTGTGTGTGTGTGTGTGTGTGAGAGAGAGAGTCTGTGTGTGTGTGTGTGTGTGTGAGAGAGAGAGTCTGTGTGTGTGTGTGTGTGTGTGAGAGAGAGAGTCTGTGTGTGTGTGTGTGTGTGTGAGAGAGAGAGTCTGTGTGTGTGTGTGTGTGTGTGAGAGAGAGAGTCTGTGTGTGTGTGTGTGTGTGTGAGAGAGAGAGTCTGTGTGTGTGTGTGTGTGTGTGAGAGAGAGAGTCTGTGTGTGTGTGTGTGTGTGTGAGAGAGAGAGTCTGTGTGTGTGTGTGTGTGTGTGAGAGAGAGAGTCTGTGTGTGTGTGTGTGTGTGTGAGAGAGAGAGTCTGTGTGTGTGTGTGTGTGTGTGAGAGAGAGAGTCTGTGTGTGTGTGTGTGTGTGTGAGAGAGAGAGTCTGTGTGTGTGTGTGTGTGTGTGAGAGAGAGAGTCTGTGTGTGTGTGTGTGTGTGTGAGAGAGAGAGTCTGTGTGTGTGTGTGTGTGTGTGAGAGAGAGAGTCTGTGTGTGTGTGTGTGTGTGTGAGAGAGAGAGTCTGTGTGTGTGTGTGTGTGTGTGAGAGAGAGAGTCTGTGTGTGTGTGTGTGTGTGTGAGAGAGAGAGTCTGTGTGTGTGTGTGTGTGTGTGAGAGAGAGAGTCTGTGTGTGTGTGTGTGTGTGTGAGAGAGAGAGTCTGTGTGTGTGTGTGTGTGTGTGAGAGAGAGAGTCTGTGTGTGTGTGTGTGTGTGTGAGAGAGAGAGTCTGTGTGTGTGTGTGTGTGTGTGAGAGAGAGAGTCTGTGTGTGTGTGTGTGTGTGTGAGAGAGAGAGTCTGTGTGTGTGTGTGTGTGTGTGAGAGAGAGAGTCTGTGTGTGTGTGTGTGTGTGTGAGAGAGAGAGTCTGTGTGTGTGTGTGTGTGTGTGAGAGAGAGAGTCTGTGTGTGTGTGTGTGTGTGTGAGAGAGAGAGTCTGTGTGTGTGTGTGTGTGTGTGAGAGAGAGAGTCTGTGTGTGTGTGTGTGTGTGTGAGAGAGAGAGTCTGTGTGTGTGTGTGTGTGTGTGAGAGAGAGAGTCTGTGTGTGTGTGTGTGTGTGTGAGAGAGAGAGTCTGTGTGTGTGTGTGTGTGTGTGAGAGAGAGAGTCTGTGTGTGTGTGTGTGTGTGTGAGAGAGAGAGTCTGTGTGTGTGTGTGTGTGTGTGAGAGAGAGAGTCTGTGTGTGTGTGTGTGTGTGTGAGAGAGAGAGTCTGTGTGTGTGTGTGTGTGTGTGAGAGAGAGAGTCTGTGTGTGTGTGTGTGTGTGTGAGAGAGAGAGTCTGTGTGTGTGTGTGTGTGTGTGAGAGAGAGAGTCTGTGTGTGTGTGTGTGTGTGTGAGAGAGAGAGTCTGTGAGAGTCTCTGTGTGTGTGAGAGTCTGTGTGTGTGTGAGAGAGAGTCTGTGTGTGTGTGAGAGTGTGCGTGTGTGTGCTGTAGATGGATTTGTGTTGACCTGCGTTCTAACATTATAAAGATGTTCCTGTTGTTCTGTAACATTCAAACTACACTGCAGATCTCAGTGTTTGGTTGATTCGTCTGCAGGCGTGTGTCTCTGTGCTCTTAGAGTTCAGATGTAGATGTTCTCGGGCTGCGTGTTACTCTGTACGTCTGTGCACACACACATGTCCTCTCTTCTGTTAGCGTGTTGTTGTACACGCGTGTGCCCGGCTCAGTCTTTGTCCTGTATGTGGACGCTGGGCTCATGCTGTGTGCGGTGAGGCGTACGCTGATGAAACGAGACGAGCAGCACGTGAGAGCGCAGGACACGCTCATCTTAACGTTTATATGGTGCGTGTCCGAACCCAGGCTCCTGATTGGCTGGTTCTTCTGATCTTCACTGTTTATGTAACAGTGGCGGGTCATGTGACTCCAGTGATGTCACTGCTTCAGTGTCTCCTCTGGCAGAGTTTGTGTGATTGAGCACTGAAGAAGCGTCAGTAACACACACACACACACACCCCTTCATCGTCGTGTGTGTGACGTGCTCAGTGTTGGATGTGCTCTGCGTGTGAGGGTTCAAGCTGGACGTGAGGGATGTTTAAATGATTCCTCCATGAGAGAGACGGGGCTGCTGAATATCATCTGAAAACACACATCGTTGTGTGAGATGGACAGATCTGCTGTAGCGTCTCCACTGATCCTCTTTCAGATCTTTCCTGTGAAACGCTGCATCAGATGCCTGAGCAGAGCTGGATAACTGATTACATGAAATCTGGTTTACGTAATCAGATTCCAAAAATGAAGTACTTGTAATTAGATTAAATTACATTTTCAAATACTCGTAATCAGACTGCAGTAACTTTGTTACTGATTACATTATTACATATTATTCACACAACAGCAATAAATCATTAATAATTCATAAAGTATCCTTCTGCTTCTATACAGTCAGAAAGTCTGTCAGTTTCACACAGACAGCAGTCAGTGGTCAGGAGGATATAATTACACAGAAAACACAGCATTTGAGCTCTGGATTGACGGAAATCATGTCAGTTTAAGAAGTGTTTTCTCAGCGTCTCAACACTGCATCAACTTCTGATGAACACACTCATGTTTAATCACTCCGTGGGTTATTTAACCTTGTGTTACTGTGTCTTTGCAAGGCTTTTGTCTTTCAAACACATTCAAATGCTCAAATTCACGTTATTTCTTAATTACATGTAATGCAGGGATTCATAAACTTTTTTTGTCTTCTCTTTCACGTAATATATTTACTTGAACTACCCCTGAGATTTTAAGGTAATAAATGAATAATTAAGTAACACATTTGCATGCTCGCGGTTCTGTGACGGTCATGCAACAAATTAAATGTTTCATTTTTTTTAGTAAGTGTTTTATTTTGCTATTTTAAAAATGGTTTTAATTTTACATTTTTATGATTTAATTATTAGCTTTTCATTAAACTCACAAACCGCCTGCAGTTCCTTCACAAACCATAGTTTTAATGCACTTCATGTTGTTATTAACAACAAATGTAATATATTTTCTTTTTCTCTGCATTTTTATATCAATGTGGTACAAGATTATCTTATTTAAATCAACATGATAAACGAGTTAGGTCAAAAGTAGTCTGATTATATTACCTGAAATGTGTAATGTAACAGATTGCGCTACTAGCTACAGTTTTTGTCACGTAATCAGTAACAGATTACACTGTTCAAGTACACTAGCAGCTCTTGTGAGTTACTCTAGTGTGTGGATGAGTGTCTGTTTCTCTGAAGAAGGAACTGATGAATCTGAAAGGGGAAGTCATTGGATTCACCACCGCAGACAATAGACGTGACTCAATCATCTCGTCATGTCTGATGCTTTTGTCTGCTCATCAGTTTATTCAAACCAGGTAATACTGATGAGTTAGTAGTGTTTTGTGTTCTCAGGGTAATTCACTGCTACTGTGAGGTTTGCTCAGAGCTGATGTGTTTTTAGAGAAGGTCTTGTTTCTGCTTCAGTGGAGTAGCGCTTATGTAAAGCATTAGTACGGCCTCATATATCTTTCAGTGCGTATGGAAAGAAAATATATATATATGTGTCCCTGGAGCACAAAAGCAGTGTTAAGTCGCTGGGGTATATTTGTAGCAATAGCCAACAATACATTGTATGGGTCAAAATGATACATTTCTCTTTTATGCCAAAAATCATTAGGATATTAAGTAAAGATCATGTTCCATGAAGATATTTTGTACATTACCTACCGTAAATATATCAACTTAATGTTTGACTAGTAATATGCATTGCTAAGAACTTCATTTGAACAACTTTAAAGATGATTTTCTCAATATTTAGATTTTTTTGCACCCTCAGATTCCAGATTTTCAAATAGTTGTATCTCAGCCAAATATTGTCCTATCCTAACAAACCATACATCAATGGAAAGATTATTTATTCAAAATAAGAAAAAAAATGGACACTTAAGACTGGTTTTGTGGTGCAGGGTCACATATTATAT